ACCGCTATAAAAGATGATGACATTTCGCATGTGATGTTAAACACACGTCACATGAACACGCACATGCCTGTTAAACAAACACGAATGCAAACACACACACAAACACACACACACACACACACACACGTACACAGACATACGTGCACGGACAAACAAAGCACACACCAACGCATACGGATACAAACTATTTACAAAAAATATACAAATTAGTATATTTAGAAACTGTAACTTGTAAAACAACATCTGACGCATTAGAAAATCTAGCTTTTTTGAAACTATAAAAAAATGCGATGTAAATGATCATTAACTTCATGCAAATATGTTTGCACGTCAATTTCTGGCCAGATATTGAAATTGAAAAACAGGAAGAAAATGTAGCGGCGAACTTTTTTCAAAGTTACACATAAGATCATAAGGTAATTAAATCACACAAGTGTAATTATTAAAAAATGCTGATAAGAAATCAATGTTAACATATTTACAGCAGTCTAATAATTCAAAGTAGTATTATGAAAATTTTAGTAAAAACAACAACAACACAAACAACAAACAATAACAAAAACAACAGCAACACAAACACAACATCACAAACAACAACACTAGACAACTGTAATAACAACCCATCAACGACAATGAAGAAACACAAGAAGAACATTAAAGTAGCGTAGTAGTGAAGCATTTTATTGCACTATCATGGTCATTTTACGACCGGACAATGTTGTTGCTGATAATTGCATGCAACTGTTATTTTGTTGTCGGCGCTCTCACACTACTATCACGTTACGTTCACTTCTTATAGCATATACAGTTGTTGCCACATATCATTTATTTTAGTAGTAGTAGTAACAGCAGTAGCAACAGTAGCGACAACTTCATTTGTAGTAGTAGTAGCAGTGGTAGTAGTAGTAATAGCATTACTATTATTGCTACTCTAATGTATTAATTTGTTTTAGCACAAAAGGAGTCGACAAAGTTAAAGACGTCGGTTTTACTTCATTGTTGTCGAATTTAATGACTTGGAGTAATTTTTATTTTTGGTAGTAACTGTAGCAACCGCAACGACTACAACCGTTAGAAGCTTTTGTTTTGCCCAACCTGGTCTCGTTACATGGAGCAATTATCAAAGATGTCAGTTTGATGATATTGCATGCTACAAATTTTATGTCTCTAGGCTGATTAGTATTTGCTGCTACAGTTGTTTCTCTGTGTTATTATTGTTTCATTATATTGTTGTTGTTGTTGCTGCTGTTGTTAAAATTTCACTATTTTAGCTGGCGTTGTTGTGACCAGTCTGTGAAAGTGTGTTTTGTTGTGGTGATAAAGTTGTTATTGTTTTGTTGTTGTTTCATTTTTAATGTAGTTGTTGTTGTTACTGTTGTTGTCGTTGTTGTAGGATTGTTAATGATGCTGTCTAATTGCATTTTAATGTCATGATATAATTGCGTTAATGCGATGAAATTGCGCTTTCTTTTTAAATGTAGTGTCATTGATGTCATAGCCGTTGTTTGGCGTTGTTTTCAGTTTATTTTATATCTCTGTAATGTTTTTGTGATGTTATTAATGTGTTGGTAATTTATCCTGTTTGGTTTGAATGCGTTAATGTATCTTTTAGATAGTCACAAAGTCAATAATGTCATTTGGTAAGATCTGTTTTTTCAACTGTTTGATTGAAATTTTTTTTGTTTGATAAAATAATTGGAAAGTTGATTGGGGAACATTCTCAATAGTGATGGCGAAAATTATAATTTATGACAATGAAGATGAAAATGATAATGAATGTGAAAACAATGCTGATGACTTTGTTGTTGTTGTTGTAAGCTAACAGTAAAGATGATGTT